ATGGTTCTGGTCTCATGTTGCAATTCTGACATAGAGTTCTGTACTATTTCTGAGATCTGGCCCTACTTCTGGTATTTGAGTTCCTTTCTGGTTCCTTTAATCAGCTTCTTTGTCTTGATACACTGAAAAATCATAGTCCCTCTGAGAAAGGGTCTAATATGCTCTTACTAGCCCACCATTCCAATTGACTGCTATCTGCAAATAGTCCCAATTCAAACAGTAGCCTGTGTGTCTAGTTCTCTGATTATTCCCTGTCTTGCATTACCCAGCACTGTGCTATCCACCTTAGAAAAATTCTCTAACTCCTAGTTGTTCCTCCTTCATGTCAACCACTTCCCGTCTACCCATTTTTTGACATGCCCATCTAATGTGTATCAGTGAGGCAAGATTTCTTTCCAAGACCTCCAGCTGGGGCCAGCTCGTATATGTCTTGACCCAGTGCACCTTGTTCACTTATAGGTAATCAGAACATACTAGCCCTGTCCTAAGACAGTCATTCAACCAACTTACTGGGAAGAATGTGATTCGCATAAGGAAATAGGAAGTCTGAACTTTGAGATCAAGTCAGTTTGTACATGTATGACTCTATACCCCAACTTACCCTGTAAAAAGGCAGATATATACCTATTTCTCTACTTCCGAGTCACTAACTGCATTTGAAAGGATATTGCACTAATTAGAATAATTAGTTCCATTGGCTGAAGTTTTAGAAAATACAAAATTTCAAATTTGGGGGTATAATAATGTCTAATGCTAAGCACTGTATGCTAAGCACTGTATTAAATACTTCATATAAGCTAACTCATTTAATCCTCACAACTACCCAATGAAATAGGCAATGTTATTTCCACTTCACAAATGAGAACTTATAGCACAGAGAGGTTAAGTAACTTACCAAAGGTCACACAGCTAGGAGAACTGAGCGTTGAACCCAAGCAATCCTAGAGGTCCATTAAACTATACTGCCTCTGGGAAACTAAGACAGGTCAGGTAGGCATTCTTTAGATTCTCCTTCAAAGTGGACTTTGTAGTCCTTAAAATAAAGTTCAGACTGATTACTCTCAGTCAATCAAGCAACTCCTAGTACATTTGGCTCCATCTTCATAATACATTTGCTAATGTAAATGAAATAGCAGCCAATTACCAGTAAAGTGTTTTTATTTATTAAACAATACTATAAAATTCTGATGAAAACCTCTATTATAATTCAGACTTGAGGTTTTTTGTTGGTGTTCAGAAAGTGGTCCAGCTGTTGCTGCAGCTGCTTGGTAATTTGACAGGAACAAAATCAGTGAATCAGTTAGAATTCTAAATTTTGAAAAGGACAATGCATTTCCTTTTGTCTTCATAAGACACCTACATTTAAATTACAATGCAAAAGGAACCAGGCACTGTGTGAACAAATTTACATAATTGGTGTCAGGGGTCTAAAGCAGAAGCAAAAGGGGGCTAGAAATTGATGAAAGTGATAGAGCTGATTATTCTATCCATCTTAACGTCTTTTCAAATCCTTTTAAAATGAAGGCATTAAATTACTGTGCATATCTGCTTAAAGTCTAGCTATATTATTGGGGCTTAATTAGGTTAAAGAAAGAAAACGCAACCATAAGGTTTTGCATGTGTAGATCTTTGCCTTTTTGTTTAGAACATGTATGGTAAAACATGTCCATTGCTGCAAAGATTTCATGCGATTCAGCATTTCTTTGTGACCCATTTGTTCACAAAGGCTGCCACACCTGTTATAGGAAACAGCTAGTTCATCCACCGGAAAGCTAATCTGGATAATTCAAGCAAAATTTTAAGAAGGCGAACATCTGCAGTAAATGTGGCTCATGTCCTTCATAGATTTTAACTCTTCTATGTGGAGAAAAACACTGTCTTAATCAGAGATAATTGCTTGCAAGGAACAGAAATTCTTTCAAACTAACTCATGAACAAGGGAGTGATGCTTATTGAAAAGATACAGAAGTATCTTTGGAATCAAAGCCAACAAGACAGCCAGTTCTTGACATGGGATTCACGTGCCAAGAGACTTGACATAGAACTTGAAAGTCAGGAACTAAAGGTATTCTCTTCATCTCTTCTAAGCTCAATAATATCTTCTTCTTTTTCTTGGAAGATTGGCTTTCCCTGCTTCAGTATCCTCTTGGTAGAAAATGACAACCCATCCCCAGCTCTTCATCACCTACTAGCTCTAGAGCCCAAGACAAATTAAACTAGAGATTCTGCATCCCTATTCCAAATATCCATGATAGAGAATTTGATTAGCCCAGCTTAGATTGGGTGTTTACTTCTTGTCCAATCAGCTGTGGCTAGCAGAGCAGCATTTTATGGACACTGGGTTGCTCTACCTCTTTGGTAAGTGGAGTCCAAAGGCATTCTGAAAAGGATTCACTATAACATATTGTTGCCATTCTTTGGAATTAGATGATGATGAACTACAGATGTGTTAGCATTTAAACCTTCTCAGATCCACATTTCCCCTATCTCTGAATCTCAAAGCCACCTTTGTCTCTACTGATAACCTTTAACACTTGATTTTTTAATTTCTGCATCTGCCAAAATCATCAACAAAGTGTTGACAAGCTAGTTATGAATATTTGTCAATTTGTACGTCGGATGCTAACTCTCCTCGTGGAGAATTTCCTAGAAATTTTATTTTCATGCTTCGAGAAATTTCACAAGTAAAGCTTTCAAATATCTCCACCCTTGCCTTCAAGCTAGATGCTCAGTGACCAAATATAACAAATATAACATCAGGAAAGTCAATCTACACCTTCTAGTTAGAACCTCCAAATTAATGAGACCAATGTAAATGCCATCTACTGTGAAAATGTATAAAAGGAAAATATTAAGTGATATAATTGTTAATTAACACATTATAATTTTGACTTCCCAGCTAGAAATGTAGTCACTTTATTAAAATATAGTCCTATCATTGTCAATTCCAAATGACATTTCAAGAAAGAATAAGTGACGATCCATCTAATGACTGAATTCAGCCATGATATGACTATACCACTGTCATTTAGTCCAGATCAAGGTCCCTCTCCACCTAAAGAGAAAGTGCTTAGTGTTATTAGTTTTTAAATTTTTTAATTAAATTTTTTAATTTTCACAATCTATGTAAAAGTCTCCCTCTAGAATCTAGAGTTTCCCTAGATATAGAGGACAAAGAAGATCCCATGCTGAATAGCTTTTTCAACTCAGTAAGAACTTTGAGTTTTAGGGGCTGAGGATAGAGATGATTTCCAAATTGCATCCATGCAGAAAATGCTGACTGTGGGTACTAGTCCAGGAATAATCACAGCCATTTTTTTTCCTTCTTATGTTTTCCAAATAAGTCATAAAGGACCCTCTGCATTCAAATAGTGTGTCATGAAATGGGAAAGATAAAATACAGAAACTGTACATTGCTGTCTCTTCTTAATGAATCCAGCTTTTAGTTACTTGGTGTGAGGCCAGAATAGCCCATCTAAAATAGGAGTGAGTTGTACTCCATGCCAGCTATTTCCAGTGCATTGTGCTATTTCTCAGTTGTTTGAGTAGCACCTCTCTCTGGAGGAAGCAATGCTGCTTTTTCTTTGAGAATGTCTGGTCTAGTGCAGGGGTCCCCGACTGCCAGGCTGCAGACCGATACTGGTCCATGGCTTGTTAGGAACCAGGCCACACAGCAGGAGATGAGCAGTAGGTGAGCAAGTGAAACTTCATCTGTATTTGCAGCTGCTCCTCAGCATTAGCATCGCCACCTTGGCCCTACCTCAGATCATCAGGCATTAGATTCTCATAGGAGCACCAGTCTGTGGTACCAAAAAGGTTGGGGACTGCTGGTTCTGAGTTCTGTCTGCAAATTAGAATTATCTGGGAGCTTTAAAAAAAAAAAAAAAATGCCTGTGTGGATTCTGCCAATTAAATCAGAATCTCAGAGAACCATCTTTGGGTATCGGTGTTTTTAAAAAGCTGTCCAAGAGATTTAAATAGGCAACCATAGTTAAGAACCCCTGGGTTTGCTTTTATGAAGATAGTCTGACCACTACGTTTTGCCTATAGATCAATGCTTCTCAATCTTAATTTTTTTATCACCTTCTAATGAACATTTTTGGACTTTTTTTTCTAGTTGCTTCCCCATGAAAATTTAATATCACAGGTATTGTATACTTATTGTGTACTTCATGTATATCTGTGCTTTATACATAGAGTAAGGCTCTTTTGCCCTCTAAGAACCAATTTTTGCCCCCTTGGGAGTGATGTTATTCTCACTGAGACTGTGTGTTGTAGACTGAACAAATCAGTGAACCTGGATGAGCTAGGTTGTGCTGCCATGACACACAACCCAAAATCTCAGTGGCTTAAAACAACAAAAGTTCACATTTTGCTTGCACAACATGTGCATTAGAGGTCAGCAAAGGAGCCCTGCTCTGCCTCATGATCTTTAACTCTGGTACCCAGACTGCCAGAGCAACTTCTATCTGGAATATTACTGATGACTATGGCAGAGGAAAAGGGAAACATGAAAAAGTGTTCTCTGGCAATTAAAACTTATGCCAGAGGAACTCCCAAAGCTTCCACTTACATTTAAATAGCCAGAGTAAGTCACATGGTGACATCTGAGTTCAACAGGACAAGTAAGTGTGATCCTCCCACAAGAAGGGGAACCAGATACTGATGAGCAATCTACCAAGCAGGCAGTCTTCTCGGACATTAAGAAAGGGACATACATGCTCCCTAATCACCGCTAGGAGCCTCTTTCCTGATTATGATGCACTTGGCTCAAGGGCAAGAGAGGGTATGACATAATGGCTCTAGCAGTGCTACTCCTTTTTTTAATTTTTTTATTTTTTAAGCATTTTATTTTATTTTTAGTTTCATGTATACAGTACATTGGTTAGACATTAACATAATTTATTAAATGATCCCCCCACTTACTCTTTCACCCGTCGGGCTCTACATGTAGCCATTACATTACTACTGACTACTCATACTCCCCATCCCCGTGACTGAAAACACCATGGTTAGATGCCACAAAGTAGGTAGCAATGCCTTAACTGTATGCGTGTTGTGAGGCCCAAGGGCCTCTTCCATCCTTGTCAAGGGGAGTACTAACCTCTCCTTTCATACAATACCCTTTTTGTTTTTTATGCCTATGTTACTTGAATTAAGGTAAAATTGAGAAAACTCAGTGGACTTTTTTTTTTTTTTTTTTTTTTGATATTTTTTCATGGTTCTACCAATGCTGTAGTAGTCAACATGGCATTCCACTTGCATTACTAACAAGAATCCTTTTAGTGGACTTCCCCCTAATAGTCTCTTGGAGCACATCATTGGCTTTTGATCAGGTTTCCAATTTCCAGTTTGAGGTTTGGGAGTACTCATTAACTACATTATGCACTATGCAAAATGTTAAGCTTCAAACCCAGAAAATGCAAGTCAGCATCCTCTTTCATTGTTTATCAATAAAAGTTCTGCCAGGAGTGTATAAGATTTCCAAGTCTTATGAAGGAAAAGGTCAGGATTTCTCACAACAAACCAGGATGATTGTACACATTGCCAAGTGCTCTAATCTAGCATGAAGTTTGAATACATTGTACCAAAGAAAAAACTAAGTGTAACTTCATGGTTGAAATCAGATAGTCGTTTAGAAATAGCTAGGAGGCCCTAAAAGAAATAATGCTTGGGGAAAGTAAGGCTTTTAACTTTTATTGACATTATGACTCAAAGTATTAATATGATGCCTCTTGTTTCTTGTTGCAATTAGTCACAGCAACTCTCATTGGTCCCCAAAAGACTTTTAGTCTAAGTGTTGGAAAGTTTTAGAAAGCCTTCGTTTAAGAAAAACTAAAAACGGGATTCTTGCTTCTTGCTCTATGTTCTATGGTGGAGAAAAAAATCCTTTACTACAGAGGTTCCCAAACAGATCATCATAGATCTATAGTTATTAAAGTTTTATCTTAGAAATTCCATAACATGCTTTCCCTGTAAACTCTTTCCTTTTGTATGGATTCACCTCGAGGCAGAGCTTCCCTTTTTGTGATATGGCATTCCCAAAACCCTTGTCTCTTAAAGTCCATTCCTTGTATCTCCATCTATCCCCGCTGGAACAATCTCAAGGTTTTGAGGAGTTTAAAAGTGTTTTTCTTCCTAAGATTCAATCCTTTTATGACTTTCTTCAGTTCTATCTCCTCCTAGGTGATGGAGAAGCCTATTTCTGAATGGGACAGAGAATGGTCATTCTCTCAGGATCCCAAAGATGTCACCAGTGACAAATTGTTTATTATAGTAGATACATGATCACATAGAAAGTCTAAAAGTCATTTTTCCTTACATTGTGTGTCTCTAGAATTTAATGATGAAAACTGAAACCTCCGTACTCTTTATCACCTGTTCCTGGCACTAAATCGACAAGGTTTGGGAAACCCAAACATGATTGCCCCAACTCTTTTTGCAGACAGGAACTATCAAAACATCAGGCCTTTTTCTAGGCAGCCAGAGGCTCCTGGAGTCATTAAGCATATCAAGGAAACCCTTGACTGGGTCCTACAGCCTCAGACCAGTTTGTTGTAAAGGGAAAATTTTGTACGTGACAGAGTTGGATGCACATCTTCACAAAACTGGACCCCAGCCCTTCCAGCACCTCTGCAGAGATAGGCAATCAATAGGTTTCCAGGCAGCACCTTGCTCTGTGCTTCCATTGGATGTCTCAGTCCCTGATCCCTTCCTACAGTTTCTCCACAGTTACCGCTCTGTCTGGTGCAGCTCTTTGCTCACTTCTGGTTTTCCTCATGAATTGGGAAGCTGGCTTTGACCTAGCATTTCAGTACCAGGGACTGATTCTGTTTCTGGAAGGACTTGAGCCTTCATAGCCCACCCTGGACAACAAGGGAAGTGAGGGGCCTTGGGGAGATTGTTGAAGAGTAAGCAATACTGCCGCCTTGTGGAAGACAATAGTTATACTCTTTGTGGCCGAAAGGATTTTTTAAAAAGTAACCTTTAAAAGCGGGAATTGGCGTGGAGTCTTTTCACATTGTATTGTTGTGCATTGTTTAAATTTTTGCCATTTGTATAAATGAATCTTATTTAAAATAAGTTTAATCCATTAACAAATAAATTTCAAGAGTTAAAAAAATATTAAGCTATTTAAAAATATCCTATTAAGTCATTAAAAGTTTGTCCTGGCACCACCTCTAACTAGTTGTGTAACCTCAATCATTTGAATCTGTTTCCTCATTAGTAAAATGCAGGAGTTGGATTTGATGACACAAATTATAACTACTGTTTTATTATCTTTCCATTAAAATTTTCCTAGCTTTCTTTTACCAGATATAGCAATTAATGTATATGTAATTCGCATAACAGAAAATTGGAAATTTTTAGTATTGAAAGCTAAATCAATAGCTTTACTATTGAAAGCTAACCCAGTGGTTAGCTGCATATTAGAATCCATCTAGGATGCTTAAAAAATTCCAATATATGAGCTCCACTCCAGACACATTGTATTAGAATCTCTGAGGGTGGGGTCTCACTGTAGGTAACTTTTAAAGGCTTCTCAAAAGATTCCAATATGCAGCTGAGCTTGAGAACTAACTACTGCTAGTTAAAGTGTGACCTGACTTTAAGAGCATCTCTTTTACAGAAATTCCACTACCAAATCACTGAAACTTAGATTCATGACTGTCTTCTTTTCAAATGTAAATATATCAAGAAAGATTGAATTAACCAAATGTTTTGATCCAAATTGGCTTAGTAAGAGTACTACTCTCTTCCTAACCTCTAGTTAGGTTCAGCCCAATGAAGAGACCTAAAGTTCAAACAGGATTAGGGGACAAGATAACTCGTTTTAGAGTATATCATGAAATACTTTGGGAGAGGTTAGGTTTGAATAGGCTGCAGAAAGGGAAGCAATGAACAACCAAAAATCATCACAAGAACATCACAAATGTGAATATGGAAGAGGATGAATCAAGGGAGTAGCAGAGGAATGGAAAGGAACAGACCAGCCAACTAAAGACTAATTGCAACTACTTAAATATTTTTTGAGGTCAAAGAGTACAAAATTCCAGATATAAGACGAATAAGTTCTGGGGATCTAGTGTACAACATGGTGATTATAGTTAACAATATGGTATTACATACTTAAAGTTGCTAAGAGAGTAGATCTTAAATGTTCTCACCACAAAAAAGAAATGGTAATTATATGAGATGATGGCACGACTAGCTAAAGGCATGGTGATAATCATTTTTGCACTATGTAAGTGTATCAAATCAATAGGTAGTACACCTTATACTTATACCATGTTATATGTCGATTATATCTCAGTAAAGCTGGAAAAATTTTTGTCTAAAAAGTCTCTTAATCCAGTTCATAATGTAATCATTCCTAATATCAAATCTTTCAGGCTGAGTACAGGAGACTAGATATGCAAAGCATCTTAGTATGATTTCTACATATTATTTTTATTAATTAAATATTTTATGTACTTACAGTAGTCCTACTTTATCCCTGGGGAATACATTTCAAGACCCCCAAAGGATGCCTGAAACCATGAACCGAATCCTATACATACTGTTTTTTCCTATACATACATATACTTTATGGTTTGTCTTCGGCATATCTGAATTGCAAGCATCACTATTCTTACACTTTGGAGCCAATTATTAAATAAAATAAGGGTTACTTGAAAACAGCACTGTGATATTGCTATGGCTACTAGGCGACTAACAGACGGGGAGCGTATACAGCCCACAGCTGCTAGACACGGGGATGATTCACGTCCCAGGCAAGACGGAGTAGTACAGCGTGAGCTTTCATCACGCTACTCAGAACAGCAGCAATTTAAAACTTAGGTTTATTTCTGAAATTTTTCATTTAATATTTTCAGACCGCCAGTGATTACAGGTAACTAAAACTGCAGAAAGCAAAGCCTCAAATAAGGGGAAACTACTATATTTGTTGTTTTTTTTTTACTACAACCTATTATTTTATTTAATCCATACAATTCATGAAGTATGCATTATCTCCATTTTACAGATATGAACACTGGGTTTGAAGGAAGGGGGATCGACTTGTTTTGCTTTGTCACAATGAAAAGAAATTTAATCAAAAGTCTAAAATGTATTTTAATATAGTTATTTGGTAGCTGAAAAGAGATCTGTCTACTTATATATATCCCAGCTGCTGTGAATAATTTTTCCTTAGTATATATAAATTATGGCTTCTATCTTCTGATATTTGCATTCTTTCCTTTCTAAAATATATTTTAAATACTTCCTAATATGTTATAATTATGTTCTTTTCAAGGTGAAAATGTGTCAGAGATTATTCTTGATTCATCTTCTTGAATCACATCTATACATACCCAACACACTTCCAATTTTGATGATAAATGGTATCTTAAAATTTTTTTAATTACTAAGCATAAAATATGGTCTGCCACAAGATGACCAAATATCACACCTGGACTGATTTTCTAACCTCACAAAAGAGAAAAGTGTAAGCTTGTTTTTATGCAGTAAGCTAAGGGAGAGACTTTATTTGCATATTTGGAAACCAAAGCAGGAGCCAGCTAATGAGGAAGTATGAGCTTCTTTCCTCAAACCTGAAAGGAATGTCATTTCCACCAACACTTAACAAGTGATATTTACAGGGAAGTTTCCCATAAAATGAGACTGGCAGTAGTTTCAGCTACAGCATTTTCTTCCTAATACAGAATCTTCAGGAGTCACCTGAGAAAGAATGGTTTGCTCTGGAGTAGCTCGAACATGGACTCACTCATATATCTGAGGAGGTCACCTGGAGGAAAATGCCTGTTTGAAATGCTTTCCTGACACTTCCTTGTAGTGTTTTGGAGTCTACTTCAGTTCAAGGAGCATTTATTAACTACCATGGAAACAAGCACTGTACCCAACCTTGTAGGAGACGAAGATATCTAAGGATCTAAGTCACCATGGTCTCTTGCCTGTATTGTTACAGAAAAACAAGCAAAACCCATCTCCTCCCCAAAACCTCAGCCTTCCCACATCTACACTTGTGTTTCCAATCTATTCTTCATATTGCAGCCAATGTGCACTTTAAAAATCATAATTCTGACCTCCACATTCCCTTTATTAAAACCTCCAATGGTCTACG